AGCCACAGCAGTGAGAGGCCCACGTACCGCAAAAAAAAAAAAAAAGATACATGCACCCCAATGTTCAGTGCAACACTATTTACAATAGCCAAGACATGGAAGCAACCTAAATGTCCACTGACAGAGGAATGGATACAAAAGATGCAGTACATATACACAATGGAATATTACTCGGCCATAAAAAAGAATGAAATAATGCCATTTGCAGCAACATGGATGGATCTAGAGATTATCATACTGGGTGAATTAAGTCAGACAGAGAAAGACAAATATCATATGATATCACTCATATGTGGAATCTAATTTTTTTAAAATGATACAAATGAACTTATCTACAAAACAGAAACAGACTTACAGATAACAAAAAACAAACTTTTGGTTACCAAAGGGGAAATGTGGTGGGCGAGGTGGGGGGGAATCAGGAGCTTGGGATTAACATAGACACACTACTATATATAAGATAGATAACCAACAAGGACCTACTGTACAGCACAGGGAACTCTACTCAATATTCTGTGATAACCTATATGAGAAAAGAATCTGAAAAAGAATTAATATATGTATATGTATAACTGAATGACTTTGCCATACACCTGAAACTAATACAACATTGTAAATCAAATATACCCCAATAAAATTTAAAAACAAACAAAAATGAATGGATAAAGAAGATGTGACATATATATATACTATGGAATATTACTCAGCCATTAAAAAGAATGAAATCTGCCATTTGCAACAACATGGATGGCCTTAGAGGGTATTATGCTAAGTGAAATAAGAGAGAGAAAGACAAATACATATGATTTCACTTGTATGTGGAATCTAAAAAACAAAACAAACAAACATAACAGAAACAGAGTCAGAGATACAGAGAACAAACAGGTGGTTGTCAAAGGGGAGGAAAATGGGGGGAGGAGAAAGATGAGGGAGATTAAGAGGCACAAACTTCCTGCTATAAAATAAATGACTCATGGGTATGAAATGTACAGCGCAGGGAATATAGTCAATAATTATATAATATCTTTGTATGGTGACAGATAGTAACTATACTTACCATGGCGATCATTTTTTTTTTTTCTGCAGTATGTGGGCCTCTCACTGTCGTGGCCTCTCCTGTTGCGGAGCACAGGCTCTGGACACGCAGCCTCAGCGGCCATGGCTCACGGACCCAGCCGGTCCGTGGCATGTGGGATCTTCCCAGACTGGGGCACGCACCCGTGTCCCCTGCATCGGCAGGCGGACTCTCAACCACTGCGCCTCCAGGGAAGCCCATGGCAATCATTTTTAAATGTATAGAAATATCCAATCACTATGAGGTACACCAGGAACTAACATATAATACGGTAGGTCAAATACAGTTCAAAAACAAACTTATAGGAAGAGAGATCAGATTTGTGGTTACCAGAGGCAGGGGGTACAGAGACGGAAACTGGATGAAGGTAGTCAAAGGATACAAACTTCCAGTTACAAGATAAATACCAGGGATGCGATACACAACATGACAAATATAATTAACACTGTTGTACATAATATATGAAAGGGAAAAGAGTAAACTCTACGAGTTCTCACCACAAGGAAAAAATTTTTTTTCTATTTCTTTAATTTTGCATCTATACAAGATAATGGATGTTCACTAAACTTACTGTGGTAATCATTTTATGATGTATGTAGGTCAAATCATTATGCAGTACACCTTAAAATTACACAGTGCTATATGTCAATTATGATTTCAATAAAACTGGGAGAAAAAAGAAATCTGAGAAATGTCACCGCCAAGAGGAGCCTAAGGAGATAAAATGACTAAATGTAATGTAGTAGCTCTGCAACAGAAAAAGAACATTAGGTAAAATCTAAGTAAATCTAATGAACTTTAGTTAAAAAAAAAAGGAAAGGGGCTTCCCTGGTGGTGCAGTGGTTGAGAGTCCACCTGCCGATGCAGGGGACATGGGTTCGTGCCCCGGTCCGGGAAGATTCCACATGGCACAGAGCGGTTGGGCCAGTGAGCCATGGCCGCTGAGCTTGCGTGTCCCGAGCCTGTCCTCCGCAACGGGAGAGGCCACAACAGTGAGAGGCCCGCGTACCGCAAAAAAAAAAAAAAAAAAAAAAAAAGGAAAGGAAAGGAAGATGACAATGTCCTATCAAATTGCTCAAGGGTACATTTGAACTGGCAAAAGAATCAGTAAACATGAAGATAGATCGACAGAGATTATGCATTCCAAATAACAGAGAGAAAAGAGAACAAAGAAAAATGAATAGACCCTCAGAGAAATATGAGGCACCATTAAGTGCACTAACATGCATAAAGGGAGCATTAGAAGGAGAAAAGAAAGGAGCATAAAAAATATTAAAAGAAATAATGGCTGAAAAGTTGACAAATTTATTGAAATCATTAATTTATATATCCAGGAAGCTCAGTGAAGGCAAAGAGATCCAAGAAAGACACATCATGCTCAAAATGCTAAAGCCAAAGACAAGAAGAAAATCTTGAAAGCAGAAGAGAAAATCAACTGATCACTTACAAAGGATCCCAATAACATTAATAGCTGACTTCTCATCAGACACAATGGAAGGTTTCCCCCTAAGATCACCTGGACTATTATTCACCAATAAAAAGGAATGAAGTACTGATACATACTACAACATTTATATATTAGTTACATTACTAACTTGGACACTAAATATTCCTTTTTTCCTTCATTATGGAGGCCCAGATTTTTCTGGAAGGTGCTTGGGCAGTTCTGTTTTATCACTAATATTATAAGACCCACAGAATTGTAGCTCCTTAAAACTTACCGATTAGAAACAATCTAGTTTGCCTCTTTACCACCATTGGAGTGACTCAAGCATTACAGGGTTGCGTATGAAGTAAGCTGCTCTCTGTGGTGCTGACACATCAAGGTGGACCAGGGTGATGGCTCCCAAAGCTGAGTCTACTTGCTGGTTTGGTCTCTAAGGAAGTTTTTACTCATCTGCAATGAAATGAGAATAATAAGCACAGTGCATAAAATTTTTCATAAAGTTAATGCTATTCAGTATAAACAACTACTTTATTGTACATTTGTGTCCAACTCAGGATGTTAAAATATTATTTTAACACAGAAAATAAATAGAAAATAGTGGGAATAATAATATTGGTAGTTTTAAGGCCCTTATCTGATACAACATAATGGTGACAACCCTTTGTTGGTATCCCTATTTATTTTACCAGTCTATAAAATCCAAAAGTCTGAGAGCCAACTCCCTTGGGATGCCATTGTGTAACTGGGAAGTACGGGGAGCCGTGCGTCCCCTTCTCTGTCCTCCATGCTTTATTTATAATGAGGCTTGAATTGCAGGGCAGTTGTAGCAGGAACTGATTTTTGCATAGGTCATGGGTGACCACTGCAATCCCTACAGAGCTGGAAAGACAAGACCCCCAATTATCAGCAAACCATGGGAATCGCTCCACACCCCACCTACAAAGGACTATGTGCGGCTGTCTTTAGCATAAAAATATAAATAAAACTTTCACTGAGAAGTTGGACTATGACCTTGCCCAAGCTAAGGTAGTATTGTATAGCATGGACCCTGGAGTTAGAAAGACATGAGTTCAAACCTGGGCTCTTCCATAATTAGCAGTGAGACCTAACCTCTTTGTGCCTCAGTTTCCCAACAATAAAGTAGAGCTAATAATAGTGAGTTTTATGAGGATTAAATACAAATGCATATAAATAGCATAGTATATAGTAAACGGTCAATAAGTTTTTGCCATAATAATTTCTAGCTATTGTCTACCATAGTGTAGAGCCTACAGTAGACTATAAGGTCCCTCTCTCCCCCCACCCATTTCTCAGTAATAAAATGGGCAATGCTTGACTTTAGCCACAGTTCTCAATTCTCTGTAGATGAGTTACACATAGCTGTCTCTTTACCTTATGTGTACCAAGAGTTAACTATAACATTTTTATAGTTAAAACCAAAGTGTGGGACTTCCCTGGTGGCGCAGTGGTTAAGAATCCGCCTGCCAGTGCAGGGGACATGGTTCGAGCCCTGGTCCAGGAAGAGCCCACATGCCGCGGAGCAACTAAGCCCGTGCGCCACAACTACTGAGCCTGCGCTCTAGAGCCCACGAGCCACAACTGCTGAAGCCGGCACACCTAGAGCCCATGCTCTGCAACAAGAGAAGCCACCGCGATGAGAAGCCAGAGCACTGCAACAACAGTAGCCCCTGTTCACCACACATAAAGCCCACGCACAGCAACGAAGACCCAACGCAGCCAAAAATAAATAAATAAAATAAATTTATTAAAAAAAAATTCTAGGGCTTCCCTGGTGGTACAGTGGTTGGGAGTCCGCCTGCCGATGCAGGGGACACAGATTCGTGCCCCGGTCCAGGAGGATCCCACGTGCCGCGGAGCGGCCGGGCCCGTGAGCCACGGCCGCTGAGCCTGCGCGTCTGGAGCCTGTGCTCCGCAACGGGAGAGGCCACAACGGTGAGAGGCCCGCGTACCGCCAAAAAAAAAAAAATTCTAAAACCGAAGTGTGTATGCATCACAACATTTGTTTTACATTATTATTATTATCTAACATTTACTAAGCACTATTTGCCAGGTACTATACTAAGTACTTTTCATGAATTATCTCTTTTAAACCTTATCACAATGCCAAGAGGTAAATTTGATTGATACCCACATTTACAAGTGAGGAAAGTAAAGCCTAGGGGGAAGGCACAAAAACACCACATTCACTTTGCCTGATGTCACACAACCAGGAAAGGGCAAAAGAAAACACAGACCTTGATTGTCTGGTTCTAAAGCCCTTACTCCTCATCCCTGTGCACTACTGCCTCCCTTTGGCTCCTTGTTTCCTCTCCTTCACACTAAATATACCCAGGGGTATAGACCTAAATATTCCCATTTTATAGACAGACAGATTGAGGCTGAGAGAGAAGCTAACACCACCCAAGTACTCTCACCAGAGCTCAGAATTGAGGGCCTTTTCCTGCCTCATCTCTGCAGGTGCCCATCAATATAAGTACGGTAAGAACCGAGCTGAGGAGGATGCCAGGAGGTACCTGGTAGAAAAAGAAAAGCTGGAGAAAGAGAAAGAGACAATCCGTACAGAGCTGATGACACTGCGGCAGGAAAAGAGAGAACTAAAGGAAGCCATTCGGAACAGCCCAGGTATCTATGTGGGTGTGGTCCTGAGCACAAGGGGGTCTCATCCTTGACACCTCCCCTGGCATCTACCACCTGGTTTCTTACCAGGAACAGGTGGGCTTCTCCTCCCCTTTCTCCTCCTCCCTCCCCCTCCTCCTCCTCCTCCTCCTCATCTCTCCTGACTAATGGAAGTGCCACTGATTTAACAACTGCTTTTAGAGTGAGAAGATGAAAAAGCATACAAATGTGTACACTTAATGTGGTAAAATGAGATCTGATTTTAGAAATGCTAAAATGTGAAAAACAGAGTGTGCCTTAGAATCATGGACGAGATATTCTGAACCTCACATTAACTCATTCATTCATAGATATGCACTGAGCACCCAAATGTGTGATACATTGGTTCACATACTGGGAATAATGGATGGTGACACTTTACCAGGATCTTCTTCTGAAATCCAGGACCGTGGCCTCTGCAGGCTCTGCATGCCCTGGGCTCCTCTGCACCCCACTTTTCTGCTGTGTTTCTGTTGAATTCTCTCTATAGCTGCAGTTCAGCACACTTTCAGACTGAGGTTTCTGAACATGCTGGAGGGAACAGAGGTCCTGTCCTTATAAAGAATACATCCAAGGTCAAATAGCCCCATGAGAATCTGATGGAACCTATGGACCCTTTCCTAACAGAGAAAACCCCCACAAATCACAATGTTGCAAACAATATTGGGAGCTCCTGTGCCCCCAGGGTCATAGATTGCCTAGGAGTCCACGAGCCTCAGGTTGAGAAGTTCTGGCTTAAAGACTTGTTCTGTGTGGCTAGGAACCAGAATCAATGGGAAGAAGGCACATAAAGGCAGTTTGGTTTCTGGGCTTCCCTGGTGGCTCAGTGGTTAAGAATCCACCTGCCAATGCAGGGGACACGGGTTCGAACCCTGGTCTGGGAAGATCCCGCATGCCGCGGAGCAACTAAGCCCGTGTGCCACGATTACTGAGCCTGCGCGCCATAACTACTGAGCCCACGTGCCACAACTACTGAAGCCTGCACACCTAGAGCCCATGCTCCACAACAAGAGAAGTCATTGCAATGAGAAGACTGTGCACCACAATGAAGAGTAGCCCCTGCTCGTCACAACTAGAGAAAGTCTGTGCGCAGCTATGAAGACCCAACGCAGCCAAAAATAGATAAAATAAAATAAAATTTTAAAAAATTATTTAAAAAAAAAGGCAGTTTGGTTTCAATATAAAGAACTTTCTAAGAGTCAGAACAGGGTTTGGAGCAGGTCAACTTGACTGTCCAAACTTGTCCTGCTCAGTTTTTTTCTATAGCATATCAGTTTTTCACTTCTTAGATTATTTATTATATTTATTGTTTTCTCTCCCTCCCTCCCTCCCTCCCTCCCTCTCTCTCTCTCACACATACACACACAATTGTAAGTTCAATAAGGGCAAAGATCTTTGCCTGTTTTGTTCACTGATATATCCCAAGGGCACAGAACTGTGCCCAGTACCTAGCAAGCACTCAATAACTATTTACTGAATGAATGAATGAACGAATGAACAAATGAATGAAAAGAACAACATTACTAGAAAACCCTCCAGTGCAGCCTCCTCAGGACAAACAATGGAACTAATCTTTAAACGTGGTAAGATCCAAAACAGCTCTTGGCACAAAGAAGGTCCTAATATAGGTTTGTTGGCTTAAACTGAATAAGCAGCAAAATCCTAGCAGGAACTTGTGATCAATGTAAAGCCTCTCTTATGATTCTTGGTTACAAGTAAGAGAAACCAAAGTGAAACTGGCTTAGAAATGAAAAGAAAAATGTAATTGGAAACTTAAGTGATCAGATATAGCAAGGTCCAGGGACTTAAATGATGTCACCAGGAAACATATTTCTCTAATTCTTGCTTCTGCCTTCCCCTACATTGGTTTCTTTCTCTGCCCCTCATGGTGGTATAAAGGCTACACAGCTCTAGCCGTCACCGAATCCGTGCAGCCACTCCAGCAGAGAGGCTTCTCTTCCCAATAGCCCCCATAAACACCTCGGGATTCACTTTGATTGAACCAGCTTTGATCCCTCAACCAACCAGTGTGACCAAAAAATGAGATATAATTATGGGCCAGGTCTAAGTTATGTGCCAATCCCCTGAACTAGGAGTGAAGTCAGCCCAAGCCAAACTACAGGGAACGAGAGGAGAATGGGGAAATGGGTATCGGGCAGATAAAAACCACACACCCCTGCATGAAGCTGAAACCCCAGGTCCAAAGTCCATCCCTTAACAAGGAGTGAGGCCTGGAAAGGCCCTCTGGGAAGGCAGACTAAGGCCTGAGGCCCTGCCAAACTCCCTGATGCTTCTGGCCAAACCAGGCTCAGCTATTTCTCATAGATGTCTTTGGACACAGGGGCAAAGTTAAAAGCTCTGGAAGAGGCCTTGGCCACCCTGGAAGCTCAGTGTCGGGAGAAGGAAGAGGGCCGTATCGACCTGGAGCTGCGGCTGGTGGCTGTGAAGGAGCGCTTGCAGCAGTCCCTGGCAGGGGGCCCAGCCCTGGGACTCTGCGTGAACAGCAAGAACAAGAGCAGGGTGAGCCTACTCCCTTTTGCACCAGGGGCAGCTGCTCCTCAATACCCTCATATACTACAGATCTTCATGATCATTCTTTGGGTGTAGGAGTTATGCTTATTTACAAATGAGAAAGCTGAGGCCCTAAGAGGAGAGGAAACATGCCATAAGTGGCACAGCTATGAAAGAGACTCTTGGAGCAAGTTTTCTGGCCTGTGTTCTCTCCACTGAAGCACTACTATTTGACTTTTTATACTGAATGTGATCTTAGAAGTGGCCTTGGGGTTATTGATAATAATAATATACTATACTGAATAACAAACTTGTATTGCTCAAGCTTGTTATTCTTATTCGAGTACAGGTTAAGATGCTGTACTGGCCTATTGTACCATAGGCCAGCACAGCATCTTAACCTGTATGACGTCACACAATCTTCACAGCAGTCCTACGAGGTAGTACTATGTGTATTCATCCCATATGACAGACAAGGAAACTAAGGTTCAGATGTTGCATTATGTTCTCAAGGTCACTCAGTTAAGTGGGAGACAGGATCCCAAACCCAGGAAGTCTGACTCCAGAGCCTTGCTTTAGCCACCAGGCACATGCCCTCTCCTAGGATCCCCAGTGTACCAGTCCCTGTACTCAGGGCTTTGAATCCATTATCTCTAATGCTCCCAGTAACCATCACCTTGAATGGGATGTCCTCAGGGAGAACTTCACGGATCTCAGTCTGTATCAGTGTCTCAACCTCAGCACTACTGCCAATAATTTTTTGTAGGACTGTCATGTGCATTGTAAGATATTTAGTAGCATCCCTAGCCTCTACCCACTTGATGCCAGTAGCTCCATGCCCAGTTATGAGTACCACAAATGTCTCCAGAAATTGCCAAATGTCCCCTGGGAGGACAAAATTGCCCCCATTTGGGAACCACTGGTCTAACCTAACAGTCTCATCTGTTATTCTGCCTCATAGCACTTAACCACAATTTGTGTGTGAATATATGTATATGTAAACATGTATACATAGTATATTCATGTCCTTACATTCTGTCTCCCCTACTAGATTGTATTTTTATTAAGAACTGGACTATGTCTGTTTTGTTTATTATAGCTCTAGTCCTTCAGAATCTGAAAAATAGTAGAAGTGCAATAAATGTTTGTCAAATGAATAAATGTTATACCTGCTTTTACACAAGGAAATGGAGGCTCAGAGAGATGAAATAACTGGTCTGATAAGTGTGAGTTGTCATTGGGAACAGTATTCCTATTGCTGTCCTAGGTCAGGCCACACCTCATGACTCTAAAGCCAGAGCAGTTTCTTCCACTCCTACACTTCTACTCCCAGGGGCATTTCCAACCTCATTTACAGAAGAAGGGCTTGGGGGCTATAGGGACCAAACAACTTCCCAGTGTCACAGAGGGCTGGTGGAGGAGTAGAAGTGGTTCCCTCATCCCAGCTGCTTCCTCCCATCAGCATGCCCTGATGTTCACATTCCACAGGGCTTTTTTCTCCACTTTTGATCCTTGTGATGGCCTTTGGAGACAGAGAGTCTTCTCTAAATTCCCTACAGGCTTAGCCATTAGTATGTCACACTCAAGGAACTACATCCAGCAAGGTACTAAGCAATCAGCTGGAAAATATGAGTAAAGGCAGTGTGAAAAATCTGAAGGAATACAGGAGAGAGGTTGAGACAGGACTGTGGGATTTGAATCCCAACTGTCTCACTCACCAGCCTTATGGCCTTGAGCAGTGACTTGACCTTCTCATTTTCCTTATCTGTAAAATGGGACAACATAATAATAGTACCTGCTTTATAGGATTGAAAAGGCTAGATGAGCTAACCTGGTCCATAGTGAGGGTTCGGTAATTTTAATTTTAGTAATTTTAGTCATTATCTTTATTCCAAGGCCCTCAAGTATCTTTTACCCCTCACCCTGTTTGATGCTGACATGTTTGCACAGTGCCTTCTTGGCAGGCTGGGTGTAAGTAGCGAGCACTAGACCTCACCTATGTAACTATTTCTTGTCATCAACAGGAAACTGCAAATAAACCCCAGAACAATGCCCCAGAGCAACCTCTCCCTGTCAATTGTGTTTCTGAGCTGCGGAAGAGGAGCCCATCCATCGTAACCTCCAACCAAGGAAGAGTGCTACAAAAAGCCAAGGTACGGCCATAGATCAGCTAATCAGAATTCAGAGATCTGGAAGCTTCCTTTCTATGGAACCCCACCAAGAACCAAAAAGTCAGCTAGTGAGAAAGGCAGAGAACTGCCAATATATCCATGCAGTAAAACTCATGAACTTTGCTCAGAGGGCAAGACCTTCAAATCTCCTTCAGAACCTACTTATTCTTTCTTAACACATAGTTCTAACAAGCTTTGGTTTCTGAGCCTACAATATGTTTTGAGACATGAAAGGCCCCATTTCGTAGGTGAGGAAACTAAGTGAAGGGACTTGCCCAAGGTTATGCAGGGCATCAATGAGAGAGCTGGGATGCAAATCCATCTCTTCCAAGTCCATAGCTCACTCCATGATACTGGTCCACAGTACTATCTCTGAAACTTGTGTTTCAGAACTTCTTGAATTTTAGAAAGGTAATATGGTACATATACTATATATGATGAAAAACCCCAAGTTCTCAGGAGGTACTCTGTAAGCAAACACGTTGATAATTCTATAGCAAGACACATGAATATTCACATCACATTGAATAAATAGGTTACAAACAGCCTCATAACAGTTCAGGTCAGGTTTTGCCACTAAATGAGTTTGTGCCAAAACACTTTAAAAATGTTTTGGTTTCAGAGCTCTCTGGATTTCAGAACTACAGATAAGAAAGTGTAGGCCTGAAAAACAAATACCTGAGCATTAGGACATGAGATTAGAGAAGTAACCAGCCGAAGGCCAGATCATCTAGATCAGACATCAGCAAACTTTTTCTGGAAAGGGCCAGGCAGTAAATATTTGCAGCTTTGTGGACACATGGTCTCTTTCACAAGTCACCTCTGCCATCATAGCAGGAAAGTAGCCACAGACAATATGTAAATGAATGATTAACACGGCTGTGTCCCAATAAAACTTTGTTCATGGACACTGAGATTTGAATTTCATATAAATTTCAGGTGTCATAAAAAACTATTCTTTTTAAAAAAAAAACATTTAAAATCTGAAAAGTCATAGCTTGTGGGTCATACAGAAACATGTAGTGAGCCAGATTTGGCCCATGAGCCATAGTTTGCTTCTCCTTGATCCTTGTAGGCCATTGGAAGAACTTTGGATTTTGTTCTAACATAATGGAAAGTCACTGGCAAATTCCGACCAAGGAATTTTTAGATATGAATTACATTTTTAAAAGATCATTCTGACTACTGTGTTGAGAATGGATGAGGGGGTAAGAAAGATCAGTTAGAAGAAGTAATCTTGATGAGAGATTAGAAAGGTTTAGTGGAGGTGATAGTAACTAGCTGGCTTTGGAGGGAGAGCAGAAGGATTTGCTGATGAGGATGTGGAGGATGAGGAAAAGAAAGAAATCAAGGATGACCCCTAGGTCAGTGCCCTGAGCAACTGCAGTCAAGGTGGTGAAGACGTGAGAGGGACAGGTTGGGAATGGAGAATCCTCCCACCAAGAATTTTCTAACCACCATCTTCTGCCCTGGTTCACCCCATCCCCCCCAGGGCTGGCTGGAAATGCCATGGATTTTTTATAGGTAAAAAGCCATTCACTGCTGGCCCCGACTTCAGTATTCATATCAGGTGAACTCCTAGACAGCCCTGGGAGAACGAACAGAGCCCTGTGGGTTGCCTGCCCTCACCCTTCCTTACCAAGCTGCTTTGGCCTGTCTCCCATCAGCCTCCTACCCCAACCAAGGTGCTGTGGAAAAGCACTGATGCAGTCCCCACTCCCCAGCTTCTTCTGGGCCCCCGTTTCCTTGTCTGAGAAAGACAAACTGTAGTGTTTGAACCCCCTTAGAGATGAGACCCAGCATGGAGAAATGACTTACCCAAGGCTAAAGAAAGAGAGTGGGACTAGCACCCATGACTCTGTGATCTGGCCATGGAGATCTTTATATAATTAGGTGTAGTGGTATGTTTTTATCCTGCAGGTTACACTAGAATATTTAACAAACTGATACTTCCGTCTTTCCATACTTCAGGAATGGGAAATGAAGAAGACCTAGAAAGAGGATGAGGATTTCATCCAAAGGAGATAACACCTTGTCCATCCAAGGCAGAAATGCTTTTTTCACAAGGAGACATCAGAAGACTGGAAGTAGCCCACACTCTCTGGGGCACCCAAAGACCAGCCTTTATTGTCTGCATGATTATAGGGGACATGGGGAGGGAAGGAGGAGGAGAGAAGAGGGAAATGGAGGGCATCCTTATAACTTTACAGAGGGTGGAAATGGGGGTGGAGGGAGACAGAAATCTGCACAGTCGTAAAGGTTTTGTTAAATGTCTTTGCCTTCCCTTCTAAAGGAGAAATGAAAGTACATGTGAATAAGCCATTTCATCCCATTCTCAGCATCCCATTCCCAGTCCTTAGGAAAAAGGAAGGCAGTGCTGAGGCATCGGTGGTACAGTACAAAGGGACAGGGCTTGATCAGCTGATCCTGCTTGTGCCAAATGGATTCATACTGGGCATTACTGACAACCTCTGGGCAAGATAAATAGGCTGAAAAATCAATAGTTATCCCTAACTTGCATGAAGTGAACAAAAACTACAGAGATCACGTAAATTCTACAGTCATTCCTCATGATTATAGAATCCTCATGATGCAGAATCCAGAATCCCTGATTTGAGTGTTTACAAATCAGAGATCTGGCAAAGAGGGGTTCAGCAGCTGACATACTTTAAGCTCACAGTGCTACTCAGTGACAAGAGCATGGATTTCTAATGTCCACAGGATGTTGCAGGCATTGTAGGATGGGGTCATTTGCTGTCAATCAAGTCCCCTACCTAATTTATATGGCACTCAGGCTCTGGGAGCTATGGCTAGAAATCCAGGTGACACTCCTTGTCTTTAACCTTACCTTGCACTTGGAGGCCCACCAGTCTGCCCTTTCATACCTGCTATCAAGTAAAACTATCATGGAGAACCAAGAGGATGGTGGCTCATTTCTGCCACAGGGGTGCTAAACTTTTTACAGACACTTGATATTTTTATAGGGGAGCAAAGACAAGTCCCAGGCAGTCTCCTAACTGCGCCACTCACTACTTTCTCAACACTGTAGGCACTTTATAGGTCTTTACCACCTTTCCCTCCAATAAAGATAAAACCATTTAACTGTATAAGCTTAGGGGTTAGCTCAAGGGGAAAGAAGAGAAATCCCAGAATAACCTCTGGACACTTTGCTAGAGGCTACACACACTTTTCTTAACTAAGACTTTACATACTTGAGCCTCACCCAAACTTTATCACCCTCTGAGGTAGCTAGAGACCAAAGCAAGTAAAATAACCTGACCAAAAGCACCTGGCTGCCCAGAGGCAGAACTTAAGACTTAGGGCTAATGAGCCTGGATCCAGACAAGGCTGCTTGAGCCCTGCCTCTGCCACTTACCAGCTGTGACTTTGACCTCTCTGATTGTTTTCCTTACCTGTGAAAACCATGTTAACAATTGTACTCTTCTCCCGAGAATACTGGGGGAAAACCAGGTTAACAACTATACTTTCCTCCCAAGACTACTGGGGGAATTCAATGAGTTAATACACAGGAAACATCTTGTACAGCATCCAAGAAATAGGAAATGTTCAGCCATGGTGGTTCTTCTTATTAGCTAGGTAAGAAACGCCTGACTCAAAATCCTGTGTCCTTTCCACTGAAGAAGAAATGACTTTCATGTGGTTATTACGACCACCAAAACCTAAAAGGCAACCAATCTATAACTAACAGCTTTCATCCAGATTCCACCTGAGTGTCTTCAGTAACAAAGGAGTTCACATAATCTGAATTGTCAGTGTTCTTTTTTAAAATGTGGGTCTGGAACGGCACCCAACAATCCAACTGTGTCCGCAGTGTGTGTCACATTCTTTCATATGCAGTTATTTTGAGGTTAAGTGTCTTTTGCCATCAACAGATCTTGGCTCTTTGAGAGGGGGTACCCTAGGAAATTAATAATTAACATTTATTGAGCACTCACCACACATCAGACACTGTTAGCCATGACTGGCTACACAGGCATACAACCTGTGCAGTCAACCCCACACCTAGCAGGGCCCTGTGCTTGGTTTATTGCTCTGCTGTTACTCTCTCAGTAATTTCGAACGACGGGCTCCACACTTTCCTTTTGCCTTTTTTTTTTTTTTGCGGTACGTGGGCCTCTCACTGTTGTGGCCTCTCCTGTTAAGGAGCACAGGCTCCGGACACGCAGGCTCAGCAGTCATGGCTCACGGGCCCAGCCGCTCCACGGCATGTGGGATCCTCCCAGACCGGGGCACGAACCCGCGTCCCCTGCATTGGCAGGCGGACTCTCAACCACTGCGCCACCAGGGAAGCCCCTCCTTTTGCCTTTTATGTAGCCGATCCTGGTGCTAACTAATTACTTTTCTAGGTATTATCCCTTTAATCTTTACTAAAACCCTGTGAGATAGGTTCTATTAACCCAGTTTTCATAGTTCAGGAAATGGAAGCCCAGAGAGGTTAGGTAACTTGCTAAAGCCCACAATTAGGAAGTGGGAGAGCTGGCACCTGAATACATGAAGTCTGACCCTAGAACTCCCTTCCTCTTAGTTCCAAGGCTCTATTTCACTCATGTCTCCCCCTCCTCTTGCACTGCAGTATTCAGAAGCACACAGACACTTAATAGATGAATAAGTGGGTGCAGCACATTTGGTGTAACTTAGCTAAGAGAAGTGTCAACAAAATGGCTAAAACATGGATGCCAGTTCTGGTTTGGTTGTTTTTTCAAAGTGTAGGGTCATGGTTCTAAAGTGGACTTGAAGTTCCCTCCTCCCCAACACTGCAAAGTGTTTGGACTATCAGATTTCTAGTATCACTGGATCCTCAGTGGGGGTCTTTGAGCAGGTTCACCAACCTCTCTGAGCCTTAGTTTTCTCATATGTTAAAGAGGATCATAATCCCTCCTTAAACCATGCTGTTCTTTTCCTGGGGCCAAAAGGAAACAGAACGTTGCTGGTTACAACACATTTGAGCTAGGCCCTGGATAGAATATAAGGATGCAGAAGACGCTAGCTTTGTCCTTATGGAACTCACGGACAGGCAGAGAAAAAATATGACCCAAATAGCTACCGTACAAGTAAGCCATCCTGTGGTGAAGATTCAGAATGTTGAAGGCACACTTCCCATCCCCTGAAAAGATTTTTTTTGACCTTAAGGACTATTCAGTGACTAGTCTGGCAACTCCCAGTGCCCTCAACCCCAATCACCAGTCCGTTCTCACAACCTGTCAGTTTTCCATACTAAATCTCTCTAAAATTCATCCACTTCTTCCTATCTCCACTGGCACCATCCAACTTCATTAATTCATTCAACAAATGCTGGAACATCTACTATGTGCACCTACAGTACTCGATGTCAGAAATCAGTGCTGTGAACAACACAGAAACTCTCATGAAACTCATACCCTAGTTGAGAAAAGGAACAAAATCCAGCAAAAGTGCTGGAGATAACTAAAACAGTAGCGACCTTAGATAAAGTAGTTACAAAGGTCTCTCCTGTGAGGAGACCCCAGGACAGAATACAACCCTTCTGTGCACGCACCAGTCCCAACAGCTTGTCTCCCCACCTCTTGGACCCAATCTCCTCCTCACAGCAGTCAGTGACCCATTAAACACGTAAAGGCATCGTAACATGTTCCCCTTGCAATCAGAGTAAAACTCAAGTTCATTAGACCAAAAAAAAAAAAAACTTGACCTACATTAGGGCACTGTTCCACTCTGTTCATTAAGTATGAACAGACAAAAAAAAATCTCTGCCCTAATGCAACTGACACGTTAGTGAGGGGAAATGAGAAAATACACATTTTAAGACACAGTAAGTCGGGGGGAAAGGGGGAACTGGAGAAAAAAAAGCAGGGAAGAGTGATGGGAGATGAGAGTCAGGCTTCGACTTTTTTAATTCCTCAAGTGCTCTGGCCCTGCCTAACCACCGTCTTGTGTTGCTCCCCCGCTTCCTCAAGTACTTAAGAGCCTTACTCGCAATACCCCTCCTGACTTTGCAGATGCTGTTTCCCTCTACCTGAACCAGCTGCCTCTTCTTTTCATCTACTCATTATTCCGCTTTCAGTTCAAAAGTTATTTCCTCTGGGAAAACGCCCCACACTCGGCCATATCGTACTCTAGGCTTCCGCAGCACCAAGCCCCTCACCTTTAAACACCGGTCATATTTTGACTTTATAGGGCGTTAGCAATTGTTTGTTGTGCATAACTTCATGTAAACTCCTTGAGGGTACAGCTGTTATTCCCTTTGGTGGCCGCGAATTCCGCGCGTAGCACGGAGCCCACGCCCTTGCGACAGGAAACCAACCTACTCGCCGAATACTCAGGGGGCCGGAAGGGTTGCGTTTAGTCTGAAGACCGGGTAGGAAACGGCGTAGGGACAACCCGACTAACAGCGTTCCCATCCGGGGCCCTGAGAGAGAAAGCCTTCCCGCGAAGGCTGCCGGGAAGCGTGGTTTTTGAAGCGAGCGTAGCTCGTCACTTGGGGGCAAGTGCGCGTGCGCAGCCTCAGTCAGCCGAGGTGGGGAACATGGCCGTGAGGTTCCTGTGGGCGGTCCGGCGGCGGATGCAGCCCCTCCTGGCCTCGAGTGGCGCGTCAGATGGCAGGTAAGCGAGGCAGGCCGGGGATCCGGGACGCGAGGACGATGCAGGAGAAGCGATCCGGAGGGGCGATTTTAGGCTGGAGGGCGAGAGGACCTACCAAGCCTCTCGACCGCTACGACTGGGCGCTCACGGCCCCATCTTACAGAGAGGGAAACTGAGGTCTACAGCCTTGCCTCCTTGCCGGGCCGAGGAAGGTGGAAAGATCCGAGGTCACGCCCTCGGAGGTGAGAACTGTTATTCAGCCGGAGCGTCGATTGAATTGGGGATGTACCCTTCCCATCCCCTTCTCGACTGCTTTGGTGTCTGCGGGTAATTTGGGATTCTCTCCCAACACCCTGTGTGATCGTATCTGAGCTTCACTTTACCTATCGGTAAAAGGAGACCGTTGGACTTGGTCTTTACAAACGGCCCTTCCACCTGCCTTCGGGAGTTGGAAGTTCCGGTTGCTACTTTTATCCATCAGTTGCGACTTTTACTGATCATTTATCATGCCAATTGCAGAACTATGGGTAGTTCTTTTTATTCTTCCGTTTAATTGAGGAAACTGAGGTTTAGAAAAGTTGAGTAACGTCTCCAAACTTAAATACTCGTGAAGTGGTGGAACCCAGACCGGAAACCAGTCAGGGCTGTAGAATCGGCCCTTTAAAATTAGTGACCAATGTTACTTATTCTCAGGGACTATTCCCCGTTGACAGTTTATTTATCGGAAAGAATAAAAATTGCTGAGTAGGGGGATGGGTCAGGTTGGATCTCTGAAAAGTAAATTAAATTACGGTGAAATCCAGAAATTTTGCGTAACTATCTGTCACCTTTTTAACATACCTGACCCAGCACTCGGGTGAGAGGTTGAATTCCAGGTTTCAAGCTTTTTTTTTTCTTTCCTAGTCTTTTTGACAGTTTGTGGTGTAGGGAAGG